AGTACTCTTCACCTTCATGTCAGCTGGCTTGGTGGAGAATTTATCTCTCCGCTCCCCATGTTCATCATACAGCAACACCACTCGGTCCACTGTGCAGACAGCAAATTTGGCATTGTTCTGGGACCAAGCCATGCAGGTCACCTTTGCAGCTCCATCCTGCAGAGGCAAAGAGGGCAAAAATAAATCCAAGTGCTGGTCTAGAATGCCAAAAGCATTTCTAATTCCATTACTTCTACTGTGGCTCTTGTCAATTTTCCTTAAAGCAAAGAGAGGCACATGACCCATCTGGTCTCCAAGGCCATAAAACCCTAGACTGTGAGAACAAGGTGCTTCTAGAAATCCATAATGCAAATGTACTAAGAGGTGACATGGCTTAGTCAACTGTACCTATGTCCCTGCAATGGTCTTGTTCCCTTTGAAATAAATTCAATTGATCTAAGTTTTGGTCTTTAGCCATTTATTCAATTAATATTTTCTGAATACCTCACTGAGAAAGGTACCTGGCCAGGGGCTGAGAAGGAGACAAAGACCAAAACATGGTCTCTGCCCCAGAATCTAAAAAGATGGTGCAAAAAAAGGGAAAAGTCCCGTAAGTGAGGTATGTACAAAGCACTGTAATAGTTTGTAGAAGCCTGAGATAATTTGTTTATACGATCAACATTAAGCTTTGAAGAATGAATGCAGCTGAGTGAGGAAATTATCTTAGGTAGAAGAGATGGCATGAGCAAAGGCAAGTATGGTCAAGTAATGGTAATTCAATTGAACCAACACTGTCTTGTAAATAGCAAAACAGAGGAGAAACAGACTGAGGCCAGTTCAAGAAGGATCTTCAAAACCAGGATTTTTGGATTAGTTGGTGGGAAAGGGGGAGACAGTAAAACTTCTGGAACAGGGAGTAAAATAATCAGAGTTGAGATTTAGGATGAGCAATGCCACCTTGTTTTTTGTTTTCCCTTAACTATCCACTGCAGGAAGCCGGTCCATCCTTGCTGCTTGACACAGTCGCTGCAGGAAAGAAACATCTGCACAGCATATGTTTCAAGGGACCTGGCGTATATAGCATACTGTTCTTAATATGTTTGCTCCCCTTAGCGCTGTGTGTTTTAACCAAGGTCACCTCTCCGAGAAAGGTTGTTTCCCCAGGTAGGAATTTTTCCCTGAAGTCAGGGAGGGGATGCCTCTCCTAGAAAGGTTGTTTCCCCAGGTAGGAATTTTTCCCTGAAGTCAGGGAGGGGATGAAACTCCTTAACTAAGTGCCAGGCGGGTAGTTAATAACTTTAACTACAAACAATCATGCTTAAGCTACATAATCTTTACTCCCTGGAATGGAGATAAGAAACGCCCTAACCTTTGTAATAGAAATTGACAGGATTAAAATCAACTGGTATAAATACGGATGTAACAAGACAATAAACAGCAGAACCTCTCTGGAGATACAGACCAGAACTTGGCTGGAGATCCTGGCTAGAGATCCTGGCTAGGCTGCTGATCAACTGAACACTGTCTCCGTGCCCTTCCTTCTTCGCCGACTCCGTCCACACCTTTGGGGACCCCTGGACCTGCTGGGGTTGGACCCCGGCAATCCACTTCACCAAAGCCCAAGTTAGAAGTGATCATCTCCCAGTGGATTATTCTTGCCAGGTCTGTCCCTTCCACCACCAGCCCTGGTCCTCTACGATGCTGCACTAAGAATTTTCCTTCTTGAAATAAAAAATTTAGTTTCTGCTTCAATTGATTAATTACTTGAGCTGTAGAGCGCTGCCTTAAAACAGTTACTTTTCATTTCCAATCCAGTTACCTCCAGTCAGAGGTTTAAAAAAAGGCTTTTTTCCCCATCAAAATCCTCAAACCAGTCAGAAAATAGCCACACCACCACTAGTGTCACCCTCCAACTCTTTTTTAAAAACTTTATTTTTAAAAAAAAAAATATTATTGATTTCAGAGAGGAAAGGAGAAACATCAGTGATGAGAGAGAATCATTGATTGGCTGGCTCCTGCACGCCCCCACTGGGGATCGAGTCCGCAACCACATACTGGGCATGTGCCCTGACCGGGAATCAAACCGTGACTTTCTGGTCACGCTCAACCACTAAGCCATGCAGGCCCGGCACCCCTCCAACTCTTGATTAAATTATGTTAGAAGGGCTGAGGGCTCCGCAACAATTGTTGTCTATCATCTTCCTTCGTCATTTTTTCCAATCCTGGGCATTCAGCCCTTTCCTGCATCATGACATCATCTTACTTTGTAAGATTGAAGGAAGATTTCACTTCCAATTATTCCATTAAGGTAAAGAAAAAATTTAAATTACAGATTCAGGGGGCAGTTTACTGAGCAAAGGGCACATCTGTCTCTCTCTTTAATTTTACTTTATTGATTTGATTTTAGAGAAACATCAATGTGAGAGAAAACATTGATTGGCTGGCTCCTGCATGTGCCCCCAGTTAGAGACTGAACCCACAACCTGGGTATGTGTCCTGATGGGGAATTGAACCCGCCATCTCTTGGTGTGTAGGATGATACTCCATCCAACTGAGCCACACTGGCCCAGGCTGGGCACATCTTTCTTTTGTTCTAATTTCCTTCTATCCTCCTAATGCCAATCCTCTGTTAAGCCTTCCTGATTTCCATAATTAATTCTCTTTTCTCTGCAATATATACTTCACAGGGCTGTTCTGAGGATTAAATGCACTAGGAAATAGAACAATACTAGCTAACCTTTAACAAGCACTTACCATAGACTGGGCATTTTGATAAATGCTTGATATTCATTATCTTGTTTTACCTGGTAACACTGAGGCAGATGCCGCTATTATGCATCTTTTACAGGGGAAACTGAGACACGGGAAGGTTAAGTAATTTGCTCAAGTGTCATGGACAATTGGTAAGTGACAGAACCATGACTTAAATCCATGTATGTCTGACTTCATAAGGCACAATCCTAACTTCTTTACTTATGCTATTAAATATTCAGTTACAAGAGATATTATTCTTATTAGTTTTGTATTTTGAATTTTGAATGTCCTTCTCTCTTGCCTATCCATTTTTTACACTGCTTTTCGGTTTACAATGTTCTTTTGTGTATATTACCTCCTTTAACTCTTCCCAGATCCCCTAAGGTTGCTATTAGAGGGAATGCTGAGAGAGACAGTGTGATAAGGGCTAAAGGCTGAGGTAGCAGGACATGTATTTAAAGTAGCGGTGGCGCTAGGACTTGAATTCTGGTCTTCTAACCCCTACACCCAGCCTTTCTTCGCCATGTTTCAGGGTTCCTGCCCCAGTTCCCAGCCTCTTGTGAATAAGAGATCTATCTGCACCATCAGAACGAACGGTGCGGACTCCTGCACTCCCTCTTGGGGGCATGCACTTAAAGCGCTCATTTAATTCCGTGTAGGTTTATGTTCGTTGTTTACAGGCGCAGGAGCCTTTTGAAGGCAGGAGCAATGGCAGCGAGTTCTGGATCCCTCCGAGCCCCAGCACGGGGCCTGGTACACAACGGATGCTAAATGACACGCAATGCAAGCTGCAGGGGTTGGCGCGGCATCTCGCCGACTGGACAGCATCGACGCAGCCGAGTCGCGTCCAGCCGTCGGTCCTCGGCACACAGTAGGCGCTCGGCATGATTACGCTTTAGTCCCCCGCTTCTCTGGGAATGTTAAGACGGGCCGGGGAGGGACGGGCACGCAACTCCTCACCTGAGGGCTCAGCAGGGTTCTCAGGTGCTTCAACTGCATGACGAACACCTGTGTCTCAGATGCCACCAGACAGCGACAACTCCTGCGGTTACCCGGACAACCCGTCACGCAGCCGCAGCCGCAGCTACGCCGCTGACGCAAATGCGCCCGGAGCGCACCACGCGTCGCAAAGTCACCACGTAGGTTCGCGGCGAAGCCAACGGGCCGCGCGCAGGCGCAGTGAGCTTTAGGGCGGGACGGGGGCAGGACTTGATGATCCTCTTGGTTACCAATCCCGTCGCTGCCTGCATTCCAGATCTAGCCCGGCTCCCAAGCCTGCTGCAAACCGAGGTCTACGTCATCGCAGCCTTTCTCGCCCTCTGATGTACGTAAACCTGGCTGAATGCTTTCTTTTAATCCTCGCAGCCCTGAAGGAAAGCAGGGCAGTTGCTCTTCTAGAGCTTTTACAGTTGACGGAATTGAATCCGAATGAATTATATGACTTGCACGGGACCACAAGGCTAATAATGATAGCTAACAGTGAATACTCAGTGTGTGTCTGCCGGGCTTACTGTGCAAAGTGTTGCACATGCATTATCTCATTTAACCTCAAAGCCACCTTTTGAGGGGATAGCATTATTAGTCCTATTTTACATAACGGTCAGTTAAGGATGGAACTGGGATTCAACCTAGAGCTGGCACATTTGAACACCCTTTCTCTTCCTTGTCAACGCCTACTTCCCTGTCTCCGTGCCACTATACCCTGTGACACTCCCACCCCAAGAAATGATGTGTCCAGTCTGAGAGATTGTTTTGGAACCGGTGGCCAGGGAGAGGTAAGGTAACCTGCTTCCAAATTGGATAATGGTGGATTAAAGGCTTCTGACTAGATCAGGATGCTTTCCTGTTTCAGGGTGGAGAGCAAGCCAGAAATGGGCTCATCTGATAGATTAAGGTTGTCTTGTGAAATCTGGGGTTGGAGATTGGTTAAGTAGAAAAGATATTGACTTCTTGAACCTTATTTGGATCAGGGTCTCTTTCAGAATTGTTGGTTTAATTTCTTATAACATCCCAGAGAGATCAAGATTCAGAAAAGGAGAGTTATTCCTAATCCTTCTCTGGAAAGATCTAGAGTTGAGAAGACCTGTAACCTGTCTTCTCAAAGTGTAGCATATGCTTTCCAGACAGATTCTGGGTTCGGAAGCCTTTCCCCCACAGTGGTTGCAAATGTCAACTGGTATTTCACTGGCACCAACCAATTGGAACTTAGGAAAGAGTAGAGGACAGTCCCTGTTTTTACAGGAAACAAATAGGCGCCAGAGCCCAAATTATAGTTCTTTTAACAGGGGAGTTTGAACCCTTCAACTTTATTTCCAGAATCCTCCTCTGGATATGGTGGCAGAGAGTGAACGTAACGTCATTTATGCTTTACAGTTATTATTGAACGTGACTGAGTGAACAGAGAGAGAGACAAAAGGGGAATTAAGGACAGGGAAGAATAGGCACAGGAACACACAGGAGGAGCACGTAGCACCGAGGGATCCATTAGTGTAGCTGCTCTTTCATTTGTCCCAAGACACTTTTCAGTCCTTTTCTGAAAACTAGCTCAGGTTTGATGGAGGAGTCACAGGAATAAATGGTGAGGAGCTGAGCTGCTGATGACAAGGCTCCCAGCCCTCTCATGTGATGTAACTTTAGTTTCCACTGGTACAGGAAGAATTTATATCCTCTTCTTTCCTTCTCCCCTTTCTGGCCCAACAAAGCAAAAGGAACTAGGGCTCTGGTTTCCTATACCCGTTTCTGGCCCCTCTCCACCCATCCCAGGCTGGAGAATCAAAGCAAACACTTTAAAATGAGAGTTTGCTCCCATCAAGTTGGTGGTAGTGTGAGGGGCCCTTGTAGTCAGAGAAGATGGGGAAACGTCTTCAGCATACTATACAGTCAGCTCCATTTTGTCCAAGAACCTTTATTGGAAAAATGTCCAAGGAGTGAGATCACCAGCAGCTGGGGGTGCTACCAAGTGAAAGGGGGCGCACCTGAGGCTCCATGGAAGACATTGGAGTAGTGCAGTGCAGTGCCTGTCATTATTTATTTGCTGGGAGAGGGGGAGTACCCACAGAAACCCCTCTCTGAGACCCAGAGGCAAGATGTGGGGGCAGCAGGGAATGCTGAGAGTCCTGATACAGGGGAAATGGAGGCTCCATTTGGGACCTAATGGGATAGGGTTGAACAAGTGATTCTCCCCTGGACCTGGGGGATGGAAAGACATACCCCATCTGATATCCTCTCCCCAAGTCCAGGGGCACAGACCTACCTTCTGGCCCTATTCACAGTGGAAAGAGGATGGGTACCAGGCCTGAGATTGTGGGAGTGTCATTATCTTCTGGGATACTGTGGGATCCTTCCATCTTGGGCTGATCACCATCGTACGCTCTCCCTGACCCCATCCCCATCCCCAGGTTGTTAGTGCATCTCTCTTCTGGTTCTGTTTCTTCATACGTCTATGGTGTTGATGGATGGTGACTTTTTCTGTGAATGAAAATGACTTGAATCTCTAAATTTCTGGAAGGAAATACCACCTCCATCCCAAATTTCCATTGGGACTTTTCCTGCCCCTTATGGCTTTTCTCCCTTTTCCCTGACTGCTCCTAGAGGCAAAATCTCACCCTTCCCTCCCTCACAGGCCCCACCTCACCTGTCTTGTCCCCACTGGCCTTCCCTGAGGACTCTGCTCTGGCCCCTTCCCTTTCTCCTTGGGGTTGTTGTTGGAGTCGTTGTCCTTGATGATATCGTACTGACGGCAGAACAGCCCTATGACAGCTGAAACACAACAATACAGTCTGAGCCTTGATCCCAACCTCCCTACTCACATCCTCAAAGGGCAGTGAGATGCCCACAGTTGATAGAGAATCTGAGAAGAAAATCCTTGAATTCCTGGTGCCCACACACAAGCACCACCCTCTTAGTCTTCCTCTCTGGGCTCCCCATAACCTCCTCTCCTCTTCAAATTTCTGCTAATCCCTCTCAACTAAGCATCTTCCCACTCCATTTCTCTCACCCCCTTTTCTCTCAGCAACCTTCACCACCTCCCACCTTCACTGAGCCCCGTTCCCTTAATCATTGGTCCCCTGTCCAGCTGCTTACTCACCAGCCCACATGAGCAACACCACCACAATGATGACCACTTCCCCTGTCTGCAGTGGTCGCTCTCCATCCAGACCCTCCACTGTGATGTCACCTGAGGAGGAAGGACACAGCCTCTGGGTGTGGAGAGTAGCTAGAGAGGTACGTCTATGCAGACAGTGAAGGACGGAGATACTGGGGAGTAGAGTCAGGGTAGGCCCATCACAGCATTGCCCCCCTCTCTGGGAAGCTGTTGATGAACCAAGTGGTCACAGGCCAGAAAAGCAGGAAGGCTATGGGTCAGGCACTTGCTCACACAAGCTGCAGCTGCTGTGAACTGAGGTTGGGTAAAAGGAAGCTTAAGAGCCCTTCCTCCAAGGGATTCATTACCAGCCTGTGTACACCCAGTCGCCTGCCAGCCTGCTTCCCTTCCTTTCCTGGCAGTACAACAAATTAAATCATCCTTCTCTTCATCTAAGCTAGACTGTTGCTTGCTTTGGAGAAATAAACAAGAGGCTTACGTCTAGATAAGAAGCCAGAGCATGCAAAGCGTTAGGGAGTGGGGAATAACAGATCCTCACCTGGGCTCGAGCTGTTTGAAGGCAGCCGGTCAGAGCCCTTGAGAGTTCGGAAGTGCACCCGGGGCCCCGGGGGGCTCTCCCCGCGAAGGCCGATGCTTCTGACCTGCACGGTGTAGTCGCTGTCTTCGGCCAGGCCCCAGAGGGCACAGGCCCGAGTGGTGGTGTTCACCTCGCGGATCACCCGCTGTCCTGGGCCATTCTGTCGCTTCAGAAAGACAATGAGAGAGAGAAGGGCGGCCTCACCCCACTCCCAGGCCACAGGCTCAACCCAGCACTCTTGAACACCCAAGCCAAGGGAATACGGTGGAAAGGGCAGCTGGAGGCAGGGCACACCAGCTCCCAGAGTCTACCCCCGCTGGCAGGGAGCTGGGGGGGGGGGGGGCGGGATATTCAGAGACCCAAGGACACAAGTTCGGGGAGCAGAAGGGTGACTCATACTTGCTGGGAAATGGAGTAGCCAATGACGATGTTGCCTTCTGGGACGTCCCAGGACACAGTGGCCGAGTTGGCTCTGAGGTGAGTGACTGTCACATTCACAGGAGATGGAGGCCGGTCTGTGAGTGCCGGCATGTTAGCAGGTTAACAGGTTTCCACCCACAGGCTAGCTCTGGCCAATTCCCACCTCGATCTCCTTTACTCACCTGCTCGCACAAAGCCCAGGTCACAGCTGACCAGCAGGAGGACCGTGGGACTTAGATAAGGGGAGAGGGGCATCAGCGAAGCCATGGTCCCCACCGAGTCCGCTAGGAGGCACCGAGGCATCCGCTAGACATCCAGGCGGGGCTCCTGGAGATGGCAGGAGTTGGGGGTGGCGGTCAAGGACCGTCCAGAATGCCCGTGTGGGCAACAACTCTCCCGGACGCCCCGCGGCCCAGAGCGCCCCCTTTTCCCAACCCTTCCTCGCCCCCGCATCACCCAGGCGCCCCCAGTGCGCGGCTCTGCCCTGCCCACACCCACCTCCGCCGGTCCTCGCGGTCGGTCAGGCCTCGGGGGGGTGCCTAGTGGGCGACCCATCGCCCGAGTTGGCGGTGCGGCCCCTACCCCATCCCGGCCCGGGCCCGTCGAGGCGGGTAGCACGGGGCCGAGCTGCGGGCAGAGAGCGGAGGCGTAGCGAGCGCTGGTTGCAGGGCCCCCAGAGCTGGGACCGGCGGCGTAGTCTGTCCGTGAGCAAGGGCGGTGCACCGCCTGCCCGCCGGCCTGGGTGCGGGTGCGGGTGCGGGAGGCTGTGCGGCCGTCTCCGCCGGCGCCTGCAGCGGGATGTGACCGTTCCAGCGCTCGAGCCGCCGCCTTCTGCAGCGCTGGCCCCGCTCGCTCCGCCGCAGCCTGGCCAGACGTTCCGGCCCCCGCCCCGCTCCGCTGGGGTTCCTGCTGCCGTCATTGCCCCCGCCCCTCCCGCACCTCCCTTCTTTTCTCGGAGCTCCTCCCACGACCCTGCCCTTGGCGGCCCCCCGGGTCCCATTCCTTCAGATCCCACGGCTCAGTCCTAGGAGCCCGCGGGGGCGACGGGAGAGGCACAGCGTGGGGGTCTCTGGCACCCTCCCTCCTCCGATGGAATTAGCCGAGAGTGCGGGAGGGGACAGAGTGATGGAGACAATTGTTTCAAGAATCTCCTACTTGTAGACTGCGTCAGCTTTGAAGGCTTTTCTCCATTCACGACGTGGTATTTATTCCTTCAGTCTCTTTCATTTCTTAAGCAAATATTTGTTGAGGGTCTCCTGTGTACCTGGAATGTTAAGAGCCTGAGATACAGCGATTATTAAGAGTCCTGGGTTTTTAGGGGGAAACTTAAAGAGCAAGGACTTACCTGTCTTGTCTTACCTTTTCAGCTTAACTGTGTGGCCTTGGGGAAATGGATTGATCCAGGTGTCAGGTTTCCCACCTGTGAATCAGAGTCCACAGCATCACAGGGCTGTAGTGAGGATCAGGTGAGACAATGTCGGGGAGCGATCTTTACAAATCTTACAGCACTGCGTGCAGGAGAGATTATTAATTTGCACCAATTTGTCAGTTACTTCACTCATTCGATAACCATCTGATGAACCCTCACGTATTTTCATGTTCTGGCAGAGCATAAGATTTGGAGTCAGAACCTGGATGTGTGTGGTCTTCCACTGACAACTTCTGAGCTTCAATGTCATCATCTGAAAAGGGAGGATGTTAGTGTTGTCCTCTTAGTGTTACTGTACCAGAGGAGATCCTGTATGGGAAAAGCGCATTGCTCAATGTAAATAAATGTTGGCTGATGTATTTAGGACAGTGCTTTGGTTTCTAATTCTTTTTGCAGCATTTCTATTTATGTGGTGCTTTCCCCTGTAATATCCGGTTCAGTGTGCACACCCCTGGGGCTCTGAAGCTTCTGTTTTCTTCCTTCTGAGAGGAGAGGGAATTGGGGCAAGTAGGGCACAGATGACTGGACGACTGTGTGCATTGAACATGTGATCAAGCCATGGCCCCAGCCCTCTGACCTCTGCTGACCCTTTGGCCTCCTGCCAGCCCTCTGACCTCTGCTGACCCTTTGGCCTCCTGATTCATTCCTGGTCCTAGAGCACTTTTGCCCAGGGACTCTCACTGACTGGGACTGGGTGTGATTCTGTACTTCCAGGCTCCAGGCCATCCAGAAAGAGGTCATTATACCAAAGGGCAAGAGTAATGAACTTTGGGTCTTCCTCTTCAGGGGCAAAGCAGGGACTGGGGAGGCTAGGTGCTTGTAAACAGGGATTCCAGAAGCTCCCCTGGGGTTACCAAATGATTTTGAGACCAGGAAAGGGTACAGGTAGAGGGCTTGGAGGGGGGCGGGGGCAGATAAAAGAGCCAGGGTACTTGGGTTAGTCATCACTGTGGCTCAGATAAGGCCCTGACCGCTGAAAGCAGAGGCTGTGGGACAGAAAGGCTTGTGTGGATGCAGAGGCAGGTAGGACAGTGTGTCCACAACATGGGACCACATCAGGCACAAAATGGTTTCAACTTGTGACTGTGGCCCGAGAGCCCTACAAATGGGAGGTGAGACCCTTCTTCATGTTGGCCTTCTGCACTGATCCCTAAATCATTTCTCATCTGTACTTCCTTCCACCTTGGGTTTCTGTTTTTCTCCTCCTCCTTCCCATCTTCCTTCCTGATCTTCTTTCACTAATAGGCCCAGAGTACCAAGTGCAGGCTAAGTCCATGGTGTGTGTGTGTGTGTGTACAAACACCGTGCCTGCTCCCCCTCCTACATCCAATTCATTAGTCATGAATGAAGCTTTGGCTTCCTGTCTATATCCTTGTCCCCGCTTCCCTCTAGTTGTCTGGGTATGATGTAGTCCTGTCAATCACAGAGAAGTCAACCCACTGACCTGGGACTTGGACAAAGCAGATGTTGAGCAAATTGTTGGATTGCTGGGGCAATGTGATGCTGAGACCGTCCAGTAGGAGGGGCAAGCCATGTCCACATACTAGGTGACCCAGACCCATGGCCTGGACACTATAAGATGCCAATTGCATCCGACTTCACCCTCTGACCTGTCAGACCACGGTCCCTAATTTTGGAAACTCCAGGAGCCCCTTCACCTCACCTCACCCGCAATCTACTGTCCTCTTCTTGTCTTATGATTCCTGCTTGTTCCCTACATTGAATCAATTCTGACCATCATGGTGCAAATGGCTGGAAAAGTTCAGGAAGTGCTGAAGGTACTAACACTCTATCTGCTCTCTGCCTAAGCTTCTGTTTCCCTCTACTTTGCTTTTGTCTTAGTCCCATTTCTCTCTTTTACAGATCTCAGTTCTCCTTTCTCCCAGGCTTCCCTCTTGAATCCTTGTTGTCATCTTATTCAATAGTAATTTTTAAAAAATGTTTTTATTGATTTTTTTTTCCAGAGAGAGAGGAAGGGAGAGGAATAGAGAGAGAGAAACATCTATAAGAGAGAAACATCATTGATCAGCTGCCTCCTGCACGCCCCCTACTGGGGATCAAGCCTGGTGCCCTGACCGGGAATTGAACCAGTGATCTCTTGGTTCATGGGTTGATGCTCAGCCACTGAGCCACACTGACCCAACTTCAATAACAATTTTAATAATAATAATCACCACCCAGCTGGCATTGCACAGTGATTAAGCAGTGACCTATGAACCAGGAGGTCACAGTTTCATTCTGGGTTAGGGCACATGCTCAGGTTGTGGGTTCGATCCCTAGTAGGAGGTGTGCAGGAGGCAGCCGATCAATGATTCTCTCTCATCATTGATGTTTCTATCTCTCTCTCCTTTTCCCTCTCCCTTCCTCTCTGAAATAAAAATATATTTTTAAAAATAATTATCACCTGCATAATAATTTATCACTGACAATTTACTTTCATACCCATTGCCTTCACAAAAACTTGTGGAGCTAGTATTATGGTCTGTTTTTTTGTGTGTGTTGTTGTTTTTTCCAGATGGCAAAACAAAAACTGAGGATAACCACAGTAGGTTGCCCAAATAAACGCAGTTTTTAAAAAACCACCCATTTCAGGGTACCATGCCTACCCCAAGAATCAGCTTTAGTAATTCTGGAGTAGTGCCCAAAAATCTGTCTTTTTAAAGTGCTTCCCAGATGACTCTGAAGATCAGCCAAGTTTGGAAGCCACTGATTTAAGGAACAACTGGAAGATCTCCATGCCCACATTGTTTGGAATCCTTCATTTCACTTAGTCACGGTGCCCGAAATTAGCATCCGCTGCAGCAGATATATTTTTGGTGAAGGAAAGGCCTCCACTTCAAGGATCATGGTAAAGAGTACCTCAGACTCAATTATACTTTCGTATGAATTGCACTACAAGCTTGGGAACTGGGACTTGAGAAAAGTACCTCGGAAGGAACCCAGCGCATCCCTGTCCCCAAGACCACCCCTAAATACACAACGCTGCTCTTGAGTGATTGGCAGGCTTTCTCTGGAATGCCTCCAGGGACAGGAAACCCTCGGCTTTATCAAGTGGCCCACTCCAATGGTTTATTTAGCAGAGTTAAGCCTGGCTGTACATCAGAATCTCCAACGGATGCTTTCAAACAATAGACATTTCAGGGCTTTACCCCAAACCTACCCCAGAACTCCCACACAAAGGGCTAGAATCAGGTTTTTTTTTGTTAGTTTGTTTTTTAACACTCCAAAGGCAGCTCACCCTCAGCTTTCTGTTTGTTTTTTGTTTTTTAACCCTCACCCAAGGATAGAGTTCAATATGCTGACCTTCTCTGAGATCAAAGTAGCCATTTAGAGAGAGAAAAAGAGGGGTGGGATTTGGGGGCACAGGACTCTCAGGAATGGGGAACACGGAGGGAGCCTCTGATTGTAGGTTCTGTTCCATCTTGTCTAAATTCCTGCCATTGTATGCCAACTAAAATGTTGTAAATCAAATCCTATTTTCTCATTTCCCTTTTCACTTTAAAATGTGTTATTTCCGCCGAAGCCGGTTTGGCTCAGTGGATAGAGCGTCGGCCTGCGGACTGAAGGGTCCCAGGTTCGATTCCGGTCAGGGGCATGTGCCTGGGTTGCGCGCACATCCCCAGTGGGAGATGTGCAGGAGGCAGCTGATCGATGTTTCTCTCTCATCGATGTTTCTAACTCTCTATCTCTCTCCCTTCCTCTCTGTAAAAAATCAATAAAATATATTTAAAAAAAAATGTGTTATTTCCATCCATTTAAGAGATAGGTCTCTTAAATCAGTAATTATAAAACACCTAAATGACTAGAGTAGTTTCTGGTTTTTTTTTTTTTTTTCTTTATTGATTAAGGTATTACATATGTGTCCGTATCCCCCCCTTGCCTCTCCCCTCTCCCCCCTTCCCTCCACCCCCGCTCATGCCTTCACTCCCCTGCTGTCTGTGTCCATTGGTTATACTTATATGCGTGCATACAAGACCTTTGGTTGATCTCTCCCCTTTATCCCACCCTCCCCTACCTTCCCTCTGAGGTTTGATGGTCTGATCGATGCTTCTCTGTCTCTGGATCTGTTTATGTTCTTCATTATATTCCACAAATGAGTGAGATCATGTGATATTTATCTTTCTCTGACTGACTTATTTCGCTTAGAATAATGCTTTCCAGTTCCATCCATGCTGTTGCAAATAGTAGGAGTTCCTTCCTTTTTATAGCAGCGTAGTATTCCATTGTGTAGATGTACCACAGTCTTTTAATCCACTCATCTGCTCATGGGCACTTAGGCTGTTTCCAGATCTTAGCTATGGTAAATTGTGCTGCTATGAACATAGGGGTGCATATATCGTTTCTGATTGGTGTTTCTAGTTTCTTGGGATATATTCCTAGAAGTGAGATCACTGGGTCAAATGGGAGTTCCATTTTTAGTTTTTTGAGGAAACGCCATACTGTTCTCCACAGTGGCTGCACCAGTCTGCATTCCCACCAGCAGTGCACAAGGGTTCCTTTTTCTCCACATCCTCACCAGCACTTGTCATTTGTTGATTTGTTGATGATAGCCATTCTGACAGGGGTGAGATGGTACCTCATTGTCATTTTGATTTGCATCTCTCAGATGATTAGTGACATTGAGCATGTTTTCATATGTCTTTCAGCCTTCTGTATGTCCTCTTTCGAAAAATATCTATTTAGGTCCATTGCCCATTTTTTGATTGGATTGTTTATCTTCCTTTTGTTAAGTTGTATGAGTTCCCTGTAAATGTTGGAGATTAAATCCTTATTGGAGATAACATTGGCAACTATGTTCTCCCATGCAGTGGGCTTTCTTTTTTTATTGATGGTTTCTTTTGCTGTGCAGAAGCTTTTTATTTTGATGTAGTCCCATTTGTTTATTTTCTCTTTAGTTTCCATTGCCCTAGGAGCTGTATTGGTGAAGATATTGCTTCAGCATGTGTCTGAGATTTTGCTGCCTGTGGATTCTTCTAAGATTTTTATGGTTTCCTGTCTTACGTTTAAGTCCTTTATCCATTTTGAGTTTATTTTTATGTATGGTGTAAGTTGGTGGCCTAGTTTCATTTTTTTGCATTTTTGTTTTGTTTGTTTTTTGTTTTTTAATCCTCACCCAAGGATACATTTATTGATTTAGAGTGAGAAAGGGGGAGAGGGGAAGTAAATGAAGAAAGAGAGAGGGGGGGAGAGGGAGGGAGAAAGAAACATCAATTGGTTGCCTCTCTTATGCACCCCAACTGGGAACCAAACCCACAGCCTAGGTATGTGCCCTGACCAGGAATTGAACCCATGACCTTTGAGTATATGGGACGATGCTTCAGAGCCACACCAGCCAGGGCTAGTTTCTGTTTAAAGGAGTTTGTGCTGCTCAGCCAACGTGGTTCAGTGGTTGAGCATCGACCTATGAACCAGGAGGTCACGGTTTGATTCCCAGTCTGGGCACA